GTTCCACTGCCAGAGGCCCCATAAACTGCCCAGTGCTCCTAGCTGACACCCATGTTCAGGGTGCCTGGTTTGGTCCTATGTTGGTTCACCAGCTGTCAGACTAGGGTCCATGAGTTCCCACTTGCTCAGGTCAGCTGTTTCTGTGGGTTTTCCCAGCATGATCTTGACCCCTTTGTTTATCACTCCTTCCTCTCTGAAACTGGATTTCGGGTTTAGCTCAGTGTTTAGCTGTGAATCTCTGCTTCTGCTTCCATCAGCTACTGAATGAAGGCTCTAGGATGGCATTTAAGGTAGTCATCAGTCTCATTATAGGGGAAGGGCACTTAAAGTAGCCTCTCCTCTGTTGCTTAGATTCCTGGTTGGGGTCATCCCTGTGGATCTCTATACAATTCCCTAGCTCCAGATTGCTCTTTAAACCTATAGTGGCTCCTTCTATTGATGTGTCTCTTTCCTTGCTCTCCTCTATTCCTCTCCGGACTCAATCTTCTGATCCCTCATGCCCTCCTCCCCTTCCTCTTTTCCCCTCCTCTTTCTCCTACCTCCCTTACCCCTCCCCCCATGCTCCCAATTTGTTCAGGGGATCTTGTCCTAGAAAGAACTTTTTGAGACAAAATACACTAACTCTGTAATTCATTCACTCAGGGGATACAACTCACAGATTTAGTGTGTTCACAGATATGTACAGCAACAGCCCAAGTAATTCTAGAACATTTCATCACTCCCAATCCCAATGCCACCCACCCCCATCCTTAGCATTCCTGAACCCTCTTCCAGCCTTATCTAATCTGCTTTCTACTCCTGGGGATTCCTCCACTCTGAAATTTCACATCCATGCATCTTTCACATCTGGCATCTTGCCCTGAGGGTCCTGTTCCCAGGTTCATCCTTGTCATAGCAGGTGTCAGAGCTTTCCTTGTATTGTAGTTGAGCCATGCAGATGGGCCACGTTTTACTTACCTGTTCAGTGGTTGATAGACATTTGAGTTGTTTCAGATTCTCATCTGTTGTGAATCATGTTGGGTAGACAGAAGCAGCATTGTCTCTCCCTGAGGTTTAGATCCAGAAGTGAGGACGCATTGGGCTGAATGGTGAGTCTACATTCAGCTATTGGTTTATTTCCCTATTTGTTTTGAGACAAGATCTCTCCATGTAGTTCTGGCTGTCCTGGAACTTGATATGTAGACCAGGCTGGTCTTGGACTCACAGAAAGCTACCTCCCTCTGCCTTCAAAGTGCTAGGATTAAAGGCATGTGCCACCATATTCCACTTATTTATTTATTTATTTATTTATTATTTGTGAGGCTGGGCCTCATGTAGCCCAGACTGATCTCCAATTTGCTACATATTGGAGGATGACCTTGAACTCCTCCTGATCCTCCTGCCTCTGCCTCTTGTGTGTCAGGATCACAGGTGTGCGCTACCACACCTGACTTTATTCTATGCTGTGTATGTGTGTGTGTACACACGAGCACATGCAGGTACAGTGACAAGAGGCCACCTTAAGTCCTCTATCACTCTCTGTCTTGTTTCATTGAGACAGGGTCTCTTAATGAGCCTGAAGTCTCTCTCTCTCTCTCTCTCTCTCTCTCTCTCTCTCTCTCTCTCTCTCTCTCTCCCCACTAGGCTGGCAGCCAACACGCATCAGCAATCCCCCTGTCTCTGCCTTTGTTGGTGCTAGGGTTGCAGAGGTATGTGGTGCTGTGCCAGCTCTTACATGGGGACTAAGATCCTAACTCAGATCCTTACCAGAGATCCGAACTCAGCCATGTTTCCAGTCCTTCATTTTTAAAGACAAGGCCTCAGATACCCCCAGGCTGGCCTCAAATTTGTTATATAGCCTTAAACTCCTGATGCTGCAGCCCTACCTCCTAAGTGCTGAAAAAGCACTTTGTGTGTTCAGTTTTTTCCAACTTCCTCCCTTCCCTCCACCATTTCACGTTCCCCCAGCAGTACATGAGGCTGGGCGATTTATCCATGTCCTTGTTAGCAGTTAATATTGTTTTTCAAGACAGGGTTTCTGTGCGGCTTTGGAAGCTGTCCTGGAACTAGCTCTTGTAGACCAGGCTGGTCTCGAACTCACAGAGATCTGCCTGCCTCTGCCTCCCGAGTGCTGGGATTGAAGGTGTGCACCACCAGTGCCCGGCAATCAGTTGATATTGTTTTCTTTATTATTATTCTTTATTATTATTATAACCATTATAACCATTTCAAAATGTGGTTGTTTTGAGCATATGGCATCTTAAACCAATCTATTAAGTATGAACTGTGCTATATGGCCTACAAGATTGTCAAATGGAGGTATTAAGGGCATGGACTCTGGGCACCACCTCAGTTGGAATCCTGGCTCTGTCATGTAATTACTATGTGACTCAGGGAAGATTACCTAACCTCTCTGGTCCTCATTTTCTATAAAGTTGGGTTAATAATATGGTTCGCCATCATGCTAATTACAGGATTCTAAGAAGATAATGTCAGAAGGGAGTAGGAACCTGGCATGCAGAAAGTCAGTATTGGCGCCTGTTGTTATCATGATGTATGTTGTTGCCCTGTGTTGGGTCAAATGGCTTTTGCAGCATCCATCTAGGTAGCATGCTGTCAGTGCTTAGGAAGAGAACTGCTGTTCTCTATTCACAGGCTGTGTGACTCCAGGAGAGTGTTTTGACATCTCTGAGCCTTATTTCATCCACAAAGTTCTACACAAGTCTCCCTAATCACGGTGAGAGAATGATGCAGAGGTGATGTTACTGTCTGGCCAGCCACTCAGCCAATGCCAGACAAGCAGGATGCCTTTGTGCTCATCCTCATTCAACAGATGTAGAAACTGAGGCACATTTCCTGCCTGGAACTGCCCAAGTTCCAGCTGGTTCCTCTTGGTTCCCAACTCTCTGTGCCCCATCCTGTATGCTGATCTCTGTTGGAACAGTGATAGAGTTCCACCAGTGACAATGACACATTCCCCGAGGGGAGCTGGGAGGTCCTGACAGTGGCTCGAATTCACTGGTGGGAGAATGTCAAGGAGGGTCTCACCATCTCTGGAGGCAGTGGATGGGCTGGGCTGCTGGTTAGTGACAGGAGCAGGAGTCAGGGGATTCCTTCTCTTACAGTCTACCCAGCTGAGGAATGGGAGAGCAGGGTGGGCCCTGAGCTTGCCTCTCTGGGAAGCTTAGCATGAGTTCCCCTGTTGTGATCCCTCTTGGCTCACCCCTCAGACACCAGGGTCTACTGCTGGGCTTCCCAGAGCCTGTTATTGGCTTGTGACTTTGTCTAGGTGGGGGACGCTTCCTAACTGAGGTTAGTTCTTGAGTGACATACAAAATGAGGGCTCCTGGGCCTTTCTTTGGGAAAAGCTGCTTCCTCTACTGATTCTGCAGGAGTGGTGTGCCTGAGTCTTGTTCTCTGTGAGTCTCCATCCCACATGCCCTTGCCTGACACAGGGCAGGCCCTTGGCAAAGTTGAGGAGGTGGACAGGTGCAGTCATAGTTTCCATTTGCTACTGTCACTTCTGCCCCCAGCTTTGCTCATCTCATTAGTCCCCAACCATTGGTGGGTATCCAAGTACCCAGGAGAACCTGAAAAACAAACAGCAATAGTATACAGTGTCCGGGGCTCTGGAGACTGGAGATTTGCAGCAGTGCATAGGATCCTCAGTCCCTCCCAAAGTAGGAGGGTCACTTTGAGTATCTAGTGCTCCACCTGCCCCAGCCTAACCCAAAAGATGCACCCAGGACCTACCTTTCCCTGTAGCCTCCCCTTATTGCACATTCTGGCCAAGACCCAAGCTTGTCCACACCTTTTTTCCCCCACTCTCAGGAGGCAGAGACAGGTGTATCTCTGAGTTCGAGGCCAGCATGGTCTCAGAGTGAGCTCCAGGACAGCCAGGGCTACACAGAGAAACCCCCGTCTTGAAAAACCAAAAGAGAAAAGAAACCAGAATTCCTCAGCCCTGACAGCCTAGCACTACTGTGGCCTCATGTCACAGCCATTGTTCCTTTTGCGGTTGTTAACCACCATTCTGTGGCTTAACCCCATTCTCATCAGCTGTTGGGGCTGCTGGGGTCCAGGGCTCCTCACTTTTGCAATGATACCTAATCTGACAATTTCAGGGAAGGCAACATAGAAGGGAACCTTCCAGCCAACTCCCCAAGTGAGGTAACACTGGCTTATATAAGCAAAAGAGGCATCTGCACCAATCACAGCATACCCTGTATGCAAATGAAGGTTCATATTTGCTCCAATCACTGCATTTTCTTTTTAATACCAATCACAGTAGTCTTCTGATAGAATGCAAGGGAAGTGCTCCTGCTCTGACTTGGGTAGGAATAGCTGTAGGGTCATCTTGAGTTCACCAAGTTTATGACATCAAAAAGTCTAATGCAAAACTGTTTCAAACAGTTCTGCTGCCTTCAGGAGCCATGTCAACCAGCTGTGGCTGTCATATAGTTTATTCAAGGTGTCCATGGAGTCCTCAGAACACAAAGAGGTGGTATAAGGGCAGTCCTGCTATGTGTCTGGCCCACAAACAGGACATGAGACAACCAGGTCAACAAGAGGGAGTCCATTCCCAATGTCTTTGTGTATTTGCTGGGCCATGCACGTCAGCGGCATCTACAATAAGAACCCAAAGGACTATCACTAATACTCATAGTGATTTTATTTTTTACAGACGTCAACAGTGCTTTAAGGGTTAAGTGTTCCAACTTGCCAAGTGCCACAAGAAGAGCTGGGTCCCCTCATTTATGTCTCAGTTCCAATGTAAACAAAAGATCCGTGTTTTGACAACATGACCAAATAGAAGCTTTAAATCCAATAGACAAAGTGAGGTCTGGTACCCTGCTTTGTGCACTGTCTGTGGTAGTGGCTTTATCTTGCGGGGACAAGGCAGCTCCTGGATGACTGGCTGGGTTAACAGATCCTGCTTGAAACCTAGGGTGGGCCAGCCTGAGATGCTGGAGTCTAGGGGTTTGCACTGAGCCCCTCCTTCCTGCTCCTTCCATCCACAGCATCTCCAACAAGGAACTCTCTGACCTGATTGAGCAGCTACAGAAGAATGCGGACCAGGTGGAGAGGAACATTGTGGACACCGAGGCCAAGATGCAGAGTGTGAGTGCCCAGCTCTCCCCGTCAGGGCCTTCTCCATCTTGGTCTTCACCTAGTAACACCAGCCCCAGGGTCATCCACATCCAGAAGACTCTGTGGTTGCTATAAGAAGCACAGGTCTTGGCATCTAGAGAGCAGAGACCTGCAGTACTAACTCAGCCTAGCTGTGGCTGAGGAGATTTATCCAGTACAGGGCCTACAGGATGCTGAGTTCCTGCACTGGGTCTTCCACAGACTGAGAAATTGGTAGAAAAAATGGGAGAGGTGAATTGGTAACCTAGTATCACAGTAGAGGGGTTCTTTGGCTTATACGGTCCTCAAGGACATAGGCAGAGCTTCTGGGGGGACAACGTTTTTATCTGGGGAGAGCCTTCCCCAGAGTGCAGCTTTCCTGTGGGTGGAACATCCCGTGGATGGAGCTTTCAGGTCTTGAGGATGACTCTTAGGGGGCTAACCTGGTGTAGCATCTGCACTTGTACTCACTGAGTGATGTCTCCACTGTCTGACTCCCTCTCAAAGGGTAGGAGCTCTCACCTAGTCAGGGTGTTGAAGGTTCCAGGACCCAGCAGGAACAGCCCTGGTTCCACGGGGATATCAGGGGCATTCTCCCTGTATACCTCCAATGTCACAACACAGTCTGCAGCCTTCTTTGCTGGGGAATGTATGTCACTTTCCCATTCTTTCTCTCTTCCCTTTGCCACCTGGAACTCCAGCACTGGGGAGGAAACCCAGAGCATTGGGCATGATAGGTAAGTCCTCTTCTAGCCTTCTAGCTGAGGTGCTTAAAGCACAGGGGACTAGTCAGTGACAGCCAGCACCAAGTGGAATTTCTAAACTGGACAAAGAAAGTAAGTTGAGAAGCTGGGTTACATTTGAATTTCAGAGTACATTCTCCCTGAGTGTCAGCGGGCCCTTGTACTGCTCAGGGCTCACTTACAGTGTGGATTGTTGTTTATCTGGAATTCAAGTATAGTCAAGAGCTGCATTTCATTTAGCATCTTGGTCACCAGGTGACTAAGAGCCAGCCCTGAGCAGTGGCAGACTGAGAGTGGGGAAGTCATGGTCTGTGAGGCCCCACTATTGTCTCTAGCCTCTGCTGTGGCTGCTCCTGCTTCCACAACCACTTCTGACAGACAAGATGTGCAATCCCAGGGGCAGTCTACAGACAGCCAGAGTGTCCAGAGGACAGGGTGAGAGTGGCAGGTGGCAAGTAGGGACACTGGGGTCAGAAACCCAGGGGGTCAGTCCTAGCTCAGGATGGCTCTGCAGGAACTCAGGAATGGGGTCACCTTCCCCCTGCCTGGGATCCTGGAGCACTCCTTCATAACCTCTATCCCTCACCACTCAGAATGCCTGTGTCCTCCCAACATGCCTCTATGATTTTTTTTTTTCTGCTATACCCTCTCCTGGTGCCCTGCAATGGTGTTTTGTTTGTTTGTTTCCTAAATGCAAATCATCTTCTTTGGCTGTGTCTGTTTTTCCTCACAACCAGCATAGTGTGAGCTCATTACTAACATTTTAGGACAGATAAACAATATGACGAGGGACATTAAAATCCCATAGAATCTATCCACAGAGGTAGCCAACCTTCTCTCGTGTGTGTATGGGGGGGGGGTATGTGCAAGTTCAAGCTTCCCCTAGGGTTTGCCTGAGGAATAACTCGAACTCAAAGTAACAGTCTGCCTGTGCATGTGTATGTAGTGCTAGAGATGGGCCCGGGACAGTGTGCACCTTAGGCAGGTGCCGAGGCACTGAGCAACACCCCAAGGATGGCAGGTGCAGCGGCACTGAACAACACCCCAACCCTGAGCTGCTTCTCAACTTCAACAAAACGAAGTTGAAAAAACAGCAGACACTTTTTTGGTTTTTAGTTTTATTTTTGAGACAGTATTTCTTTGTGTGGTCCTGTCTGTCCTGGAACTCACTCTGTAGACCAGGCTGGCCTTGAACCCAAGAGATCTACCTGCCTCTGCCTCCTGAGTGCTGGGACTAAAGGCACCAGAGCCCATCCGCTGTCTGAAGAGTACATGGGTCAAACCACCTCCTTCCTCTGACCTTTCCTCTCTCCCTTCCCCCTCCTTCTTTTTTCCCCTTCCTTCCTCCCGCTCTTGTTCGCAGAAGGCATCATTGTTTATTCATTTACATTGCCCAAACATTTTCCTGAAGTTTTAATTTTTGTAATTGTTGAGAGTTTACTTGAGTAACAAATTTAACTGCTTAAAGGGCAACAAGGACAAAGTTGGCATCATCCCCATTCCCCAGGAGTATCCTTCACTCTGAGGTAATTGCCCCCTGCTCTCCCTTCCCCAGCCCCTGCCCCAGTCACTCCCCTACCCTGTCTTTGTGGGGCATGACCTGCATATCCCTGTGACAGAGCTGTCCAATGAGGTGTCCTGTGTGCAGATGTCTGCTGCTGTAGACAACAAGCCTGAAGGAGGGAGCAGTGTCCCTTTGTAGTTCCTTCTCCAAAACTGTCCAGTGCCCACACTGGACCACCCCGCCCTCCCACCTGTTCACCAGTGAGCCTGTCATACACTGGCCCTGTCAGTCCTTCTGATCTGAAGGACTGCTTTATCAAGGTATAACTCACAGAAAGAGCCCAGAAGTAGCTTCGATCTATGAATTCACCCCTGTGAATCTGCTTTGGTGGACAGTCACCTAGGCAGGATAGAATACCCAGATAGGATTTTTCTAGAAAGCCTTTGGTGCTCACCCCCTAGAGGCAACTGCTCCCTAAGTCCTCTCACTCACTCCTGGTCCATTAGTTTGATTGACCTGAACCTTCAGTCCCCTACCCAGTGTTCCCTGAGTTGGTCTCCTCATCTCAGCCAGATGTGTTCCACCCATGTCATCTGTGGGCTTCAGTAATGATTAACAGACTTTCCTTCTGATGAATTAATCTTTGACACTGGAGCTGCCCAGGTTGGCCTTGGGTCTATCAGTGATTGAGAGGATGAAACTCCACCCAAGCCAGGAAGCATGTTGTGTTGCCTGCCCCAGTCTGGTGTAGCCCAGGCTGGCTTTGAAGAGACTATGTAGCCAAGTCTGGCTCATTCTCCTCTCCTCCCCACCTTTCTTTGTGTGTGTGTGTGTGTGTGTGTGTGTGTGTGTTTTAAAGAAAGCATTTATTGGTTTAGTGTGTGTGTGTGTGTGTGTGTGTGTGTGTGTGTGTGTGTCTGTGTGTATGTACATGCTCACACCATGGCACATGTAGGAAGATCACAAGACAACCTGTAGGAGCAGGTCCTGGGATGAACTCAGTTCATCAGGCTTGATGGCAGATGCCCTACCCACTGAACAACCCTATCAGCTCCCTTCCTTAGTTTCATTTCCGTTTTTAAAGATTTATTTGTTTTTGTTGTATGTGTCTGGGTGCTTGGTCTGCATTTACATCTGTGCATCATATTCATACCTGGCTCCCATGGAGGCCTGAAGAGGGCTTTAGATCCCTTGGACCTGGAGTTCCAGATGGTTGTGAGCAGCTGTTTGGGTGCCGGGAACTGGATCCAGGTCCTCTGCAAGAGCACCAGTCTTCTTAACCACAGAGCTATCTCTCCAACCTAATTTCCCTTTGTTTTTTAAAATAAGGTCTTGCTATAAAGGGTTGGCTGACCTCAAATTTGATTCTCCTGCCTTGGCCTTTCCGGTGCTGACATCACCTTCATGCATCACCACATCCTTTCTTCTCACTTTAAAATGTGATGCCTGCTTTGCACCTTACAAGGTCCGCGTGGTCTGAGGGTACCACCCAGTATTCGGAGAACCTCTGTAGAGCAGAGTGATGTTCAATGTCAGTGGACTCCGCCGTTTCTTTTCATGCTCTTCCCTAGTCCTGTGACAGGCAGCTGCCCCTTCTGCCTCCTGCCCTGAGACTGCCTGTTGGGGAGTTTTCACCTTCGTGGAATCCCACACCCCTGGTCACTATCTGTTTTCTCTGGCCTTGTCTCCCTGGTGGGATTACCTCTGCTTCTGAGTTGCATCCCCAGTCTTCTTTCTCTCTTCTGGATTTTGTGGTGCTGAGACAGAATGCAGTCCTTGCACCTGCTAGGCAAGCACCCACTCACTGAACTGCTTCCAAGCTTCAACTTTCCTCTTCTGAAACCAGGTGGAGATGGGGACCCCAAAACCAACCAGCTGCCATGGGCACCCTGGTGTTGCCTATCCTACCCTCAGTCCTCTCACTGCCATCATCACCCCCCCCCTACTGAACTCTGAGACCCTTAGGGATTCATCCCTGGATACTAGCTTGGTGCTAAAACACTGGCAGGCTTCATGGCTGCTGGAGTAGACAGACTATATTTAGATATGCTGTCCTGGGGCTGGAGAGATGGCTTGGTGGTTAAGAGCACTTGCCATTCATTTGGAGGACCAATTTGGTACCCAGCACCCATGTTGGGCAGTTCACAACTGCATATAAATCTAGCTCCAAGGGATTTGACACCCTCTACTGGCCTCTGTAGATACCAAAACGTGTGTGTGTGCTTATGCATGCGCGCGCGCGCGAGCGCGCGCGCACACACACACACACACACACTCACACACACACACACACACTCACACACTCACACACTCA